AATCAAGAGTAATTTTTCTTGTTAATATTTTCAAGAGTCTGGACTCTAGATACAATGTGTTTTTTTTTTCCAGTTCGGGAAAAAATCACGTTGAGCGCATTGAAAATGTCTTAATTCCGCTGTGCTGCTGTGCTCAAGAAAAACGCCGCATGAGCCTTCAGACGTTGCCAAGTTTTCTTTGATAGAACACGGATATCTGGGTAAATTTGTAAATCTTTTTTCCCAAGTTTTCAGAGAATTTTGTACGTAACTTGACCTTAAGTTTTTGAAAATTGCAAGGAAGAATATTCTCCCTTTCTTTAAAGTAGGGATTTTTAGATAGGAAATCTGGCAATATCTGAATGGTCTTGCGGCGTTTTTCCTTAAATTCCCAATAAACTTATGGTTTGCGCGGTTTGTATCGCGCGCACTCAAATTAAGTCCGTCCGTGGTCTTAGCGAGAAGTGGCCAGAATTAAAGTTTTCTCGAAGAGAGTCATAAAAGCCGTAAAATCATAATAGATGATCTAGCTTTCAATTAGCAGTGTATAGAAAGACTTCCAGCATTTTAGGAGGCACGGACATAGCAAGAAGGATTTCTCATTTTTGAATGCTGTGGTAAGGCAATAAGGATTATGGCAGAATAACAAAGATAAATTTTCTGGGGAAGCAAATCGGTTGTTTTTTCTATCGCCGCGTTTAAGTCTCCACGAGGGCGAATTGACTCCATTCCAGTTGCGAGGTATAAATGCTCTATGATCGATATTTCCTCAATTGAAGCTATATATTATGGTGAAGAATCGATTATAAAGGTGTTCGTCGTAAACACCCTGTTTATCGACCACCCTCCCCTTCCGACCTAGGGGGTGCCTCCTCGTTCCTTACACTGAAAAAAAACTCCGGCCGTGGGAGCCGCAATTACGGGCTGTATAGACATTAGGGTGGCCCACAAAAAATGAATTTCGGAAATTTATAACCGTAACCCCCTAAATCGGTTACAGCATGTTCAAAAACACGGAAAATGAAATTTGGGGTCAATCGAACAAAATTAACCCGACGCGCAGTTGCCATTTATCCAAGCAAAAATAGCGAATTTTTACAGTTTTTCAGTAATTTTTCGCTCCCAAAAAATAAAGTCGGAGGGGTCTGCAAATTAAATAGAGGGCAAAATTAGTTCATAAGCTACACCCTAGTGAAGTTTTGGACCCCCTCCATGCTTTTGACCCGACGCGAAAATTTCACGCATGAAAATAGCGAATTTTTGACTGTTTTTGATGATTTTTCTCTCTCGATAAATTAACGTTACAGATGCCTAAATTGTAATCAGAGTGTAAAGTTAGTAGCTTAGATGCTCCCAATGCTCCCCTCCTGATAATTTTGACACGCTACGACGTTACCATTTTTCTGAGAAAAATCGTGAATTTCGACTTATTTCAATATCGTCTGTCTAGACCTAAAAAAAAAAAAAAAAACTCAGGAGCCATCGAAAAAGTGCGCTAAAACACGGTGATTATACCATGAGTATCTTTTTTGAAAATTTGGATCCTGTAAAATGTTTTAGTCGGCGTGAAGTTACCACTTGGCAAACAGTGGTTGACGGTAATAGTCAAGTTTCATACGTTAATGCGCCTTCAATTACATTGGATACTGTGCAATACTTTCGTGGTGGAATAGTTGCGTTGGCGCCTACAAACCTAACAGGGATACTTCACTCATTGCGCAATGCATGGATCCAAATTTTCAAAAAAGATACTCATGGTATAATCACCGTGTTTTAGCGCACTTTTTCGATGGCTCCTGAGTTTTTTTTTTTTTTTTTAGGTCTAGACAGACGATATTGAAATAAGTCGAAATTCACGATTTTTCTCAGAAAAATGGTAACGTCGTAGCGTGTCAAAATTATCAGGAGGGGAGCATTGGGAGCATCTAAGCTACTAACTTTACACTCTGATTACAATTTAGGCATCTGTAACGTTAATTTATCGAGAGAGAAAAATCATCAAAAACAGTCAAAAATTCGCTATTTTCATGCGTGAAATTTTCGCGTCGGGTCAAAAGCATGGAGGGGGTCCAAAACTTCACTAGGGTGTAGCTTATGAACTAATTTTGCCCTCTATTTAATTTGCAGACCCCTCCGACTTTATTTTTTGGGAGCGAAAAATTACTGAAAAACTGTAAAAATTCGCTATTTTTGCTTGGATAAATGGCAACTGCGCGTCGGGTTAATTTTGTTCGATTGACCCCAAATTTCATTTTCCGTGTTTTTGAACATGCTGTAACCGATTTAGGGGGTTACGGTTATAAATTTCCGAAATTCATTTTTTGTGGGCCACCCTAATAGACATACCGTCCGTTCCGGGCTCAGAGGCCGACAATTCCGGCTGCTGGAGGCGTAGCTTCGATTGCTCCGGGTTCAGAGGCCGAAGCTACGGCTCCAGCAGCCGGACTATTCGACCTTTGAGCCCGGAGCGGACGGTATGTCTATATAGCCCGTAATTGCGGCTCCCACGGCCGGATTTTTATCTCCGTGTAATAAAAGAAAAAGCTAAAGTTGATGAAAATTGAAACAATATGGCAAAAAAATACATTCCTTGACAGTAATTAATTTAAAAGTCTAACAAGAATCCTCGACGGCGGTAGATCTATTTTCTCCCATAGGAAAAAGCTCTTTCACTACTTCTCCCAGATGATGAACTATGCACCGTTCCAGAGCAATCGATCCATCTCAGGAGCCGCGGCCTTAACTCGTAGTTGGCCTCATCTTTGAAAAACAGACGAGGCAGAATCCGCAAATCGTTAGTTGCGAAATTTTTTGCAGAGTAACGGCTGCGATTGCAAACGACCCGAACTGCACAGGAGTTTTTGCCCGAGATGCAACTGCAACTGCAACCGTCCGACCTCGTTAAGACGCAGCTGAATAACAAAACGATCCTGGCCCTAATTTTCGCCGGTCGTCCATAAAGCGACTGCCGTTCGCTTTGCATTTGACTGTAACGCGCCTTCGACGGTGAATTGCGCCTGTCATTAACTTATTACAATAGGCGAGACGCGTGGGAAGTTTTCACCGGCGAAAATAAACTAATCCGCTCGAAAAGTCGAGACAAAGCTGTTTTCGAATCAACAATGAGTCGCGACGCCGGTAAAGCATCACTTTCTATTCGGTTTGTTCTCATGCAACCGAGCATAATTTCTGATTTGCATTTAAAACCGAGAATCATGGCCGAGTTCGTCGATTGGAATATTACTTTGTTTGCATTAGTTTTCGCTTTGTTTTAAAATTTGAATAATTATAGCGTAGAATAAATGGATTGCATTTTGCAAAAAGGAACCAAGAGCATTCCAATGTTGCTAAGATTGTGCAACTTGAATTTCTCGCAAGAAATTAAAGATATCATTAAGAAAATTAAATTTACGAAGGTAATTTTCGTCTAAAAATCATAGTTTATTGGGAGTAAAGATAAAGCTTGTTTAGATGATCAGTTTTTATTCGCAAGGTGAAAAATGTTGCACAATCTTAGCGACATTTGAATGCTTGTGGTTCCTTTTTGCAAAATGCAATCCAAATGATAAAAAATGTTGTTTGCACTTCTACTGGAGGCAATGTTTTTTCCAAGGTGAAAGAAATCAGGCCTGTCATCGGTTGCTTGGAAGAACTTTGTGATCACCACTGTGAAGTAGATTCATTCCTCAGAACTGATTTCGCTCTGTTTGCCTTTCGAATTGAGGGACCTAAGTTATTAAAAATTAAAAAATTGTGATCTTCATGGCAAGTGGATTTCTCGAAGTCAGAGAGAATGAGGGAAAGCTCCCACAGCTACTTAAAATTGAAATTTTGAAACTTAAATTCATGATTACGAGAAATTAAAAAGGAATTCTATGACCAATAGACCCCTCATTGGTCTTGTTCAAAGAACTGAGCATAATTTCTGATTTGCATTCAAAACCGAGAATCATGGCAGAGTTCGTTGGATAGAAAATTACTTAGTTTGCATTAGTTGTCCGTCTGTTTTAAAATTTGAATAATTATAGCATATAATAAAAGATGAAAAATGTTGCTTGCACATCCAGTATAGAAGCAATATTTTTTCCAAGGTGAAAGATTTCTAGCCTGCCATCGGTTGCTTGGAAGAACTATGTAAGCATCACTATGAAGTAGATTCCTTCCCCAGAACTGATTTTGTTCTTTTTCATTTTGAAGAGAGGGACCAAAGTTATTACAAATTAAAACATTATTGTTTTTACAGCAAGTAGGTCGCTCAAAGTCAGAAAGAAAGAGAGATGGCTCCTGCAGCTACTTAAAATTGAACTTTTGAATCGTAAGTTTATAATTACGAGAAATTAAAAAGGAATTCTATAACCAACAGATCCCTTGTTGGTCTTGCTCAAAAAACTTAGTTCCTTTCTGCTAAACTCAATCCAAGTTCACTTCGTAATGAGCTAGTTTGGGGACAGTAGATAATCCTTTATTCGGTTTATTCGATGCTTCCATCGGGAAAAAATGATCTGATTGAATATAGATCGATTTTTCGCGCTTTTCAAGAGAGGCATAATTCCTCGTTCTCTTCACGGAAGGACGTTACTTCATTTCAATTTGTGCAAATTTCATTTCGCGAATTGTATTTTTACCAAAATAATTTTGAGAATTTCTAAATTTAATTTTTACTGATTTTTCTTCCGATCTCATACAAAAATCAGAAAATATGGAAAAAACAGCGCAGGAATATTCTTGCAAAATATTTGAATTGTTCGGGTTGATTTCGCAACCTTCAAATGGAGTTATGTCATTTCGTCGAAGAAACGAAGACTTTAACGCCGATATATCGATGTACGTATACCCACTAAATCAGGCTATAACCGTCATTTCCCCTTCCTTTCCAATGTCATTATTATTAATTTTTTTTTTTTACCTTTTTAATATTTTATTTGATGTAAACAGCTACAGGAGCTAAGCCATTGATAACGAATTGACCATTGAATTGACCTGAACCGAAATGAAATGCAAAGCCAACAGGAAACACTCACCTTCGAGTCCCATGATGCCTTGCGATTGGCGCGTTGATCCATCGTCATGTGCCCGGGCTTTATGTTCCATGCAGCTGACCCACTTGCTCAGAACACACAACACAAAAACGGGAAAACTGGGCTAGTTCAACACCGCGAACTGCCGATCACCGCGAGGAAAAAACACTCATCGCACTCACAGTCGAAGACCGAACGGAAAAAGCAGGCAAATATTTGCAGTTGAAATCGCACCGGACAGAAAAAACGAACCGAGGAACGCGAACTAATTACTGATCAAACAGGACTTCTGTCGCGAGGAACGACGAACAGTGGGCCGATTTTTTTTAGTTTTCGGACAAAAATCAGGTGACACTCAATGCAGATTAAAATTGCACTTATCTTTCCTAGATTTAAAATCTATGTTTAGATCCAAAGGAGTAATTTTATCCGTAAAAGTGTAGCCTCTGTCGGTGCACTTAACAATAATCGCGCACTGTTATTTAACGGAAAAATAAGAATTTTGAAGGTAAAGTTTGAGGTTTTGATATGTATAATTAAGTTTCAGAAAATGGATTTTTAATCATAGAACGAACCGTTGGGATGCACTTGGTAATAACCGCGCACTAATATTTCACGATATAGTAAGAAATTTGAATTTTGAGGGCGGAAAAAGTTGTAAAATATACACTGAGGCTGTTTTGAATGGAATGCTGTTGTCAATAACAACCTGGAGAATGTGAACTCTTACACTTTAGTGCACAGTGTATGTGATAATTTAGAGCTTGCAAATTGCCAATTTTAAAATTTAGCAAAAAATATATAAAAATGGATTCTCGAAACTATATTCAAATAAAATTTCTTTAAAAATTATATTTGGTCAAATATTGTAATTTTTTGTCACTGTGCGTGCATCGAGGCGGAGACGCGTCACATCAAACAGAGAGCTTCTTCTTCTTGCTGTTCTGCATCATTTCCTCCAGCGCGGAGACCAGAGGCGGACCCATCCAATCAGCGGAATAACTAGATCCAGTTACAGGGAGCCCTGGAAAAGAAAACAGAAGGAATCAGAATCAGAACACAGCACCCGAGCGTCACAAAAATTATTTACGACACTTAAGAACCGTCCTCGGAGGTTTGTCATTCTGCCATGTTAAGGAAGAATGCCGTAAGAACATTGAAAAGTTGCCAAATTTTCCCGGATAAAACATGGATATTTGAAGGAAATTCTGCGTATTTTTCCTTGAAATTTTCGAACGTTTAAGATTCAATTGCGAACAAAATGGTCTGAAAAAATTTAAAAAAAATATTCACAATTATTGCCGTAAATATGGTTTATATTGGCGGAAATATGGCAACGGCTGAAGGCTCATACGATGTTCTTCCTTAGCACGGTATAGCATTGCACAGAGCACAGGCGCTGCGCATTCTTCGAGGTGTGTTTTACTTCGCTATTCCACCCGCGAATTATACATGCCGCGCCGCGCCTCGGGAAATGGAACGGAAATCCACTTATTCGAAGCGCCCGTTCATGCCATTTTCCGAGAAAGCATTTATTATAGGCGTATTATCAGTCTTACTCGATTTTTCAGTACTTTCTCTTGGATTTGCACGGTGTGATGCTTAATATCAAATCGAGTCCGGTCATCAGAATCGGTTGGTTTTATTGGTTTCTTTCGGAAAGTAGAAATTCACTGCCCAAAAGATTCAATGATAAAAAGTCCAAAGAAGTATTTTTCAATGAAAAAATTGCTGTCTTTTGAGATGAAGTCACGACGTTATTAGTCGATTTTTTGACGATAAAATCGCTAGGATAATCAACATCCGAACGATTATCCTCGATCCTGTTGCAATTATATCGCTATAAAATTTCGTCTAAAAAAAATCGAAATTTCATCTCAACCTATCACAATTTTTTGTTCGATAATATTGCCATAAACTGCCGCCTATAAAATCACAATTTTATTGCAAATTCATGCAGTTAAATCGCAGTTTGTCGCAATTTTTCATCCGATTATATTGCAGTGAATCGACGGCGATAAAATCTCAATTCATTTTCCGAGCGAATCGCAACTTATCGCGATCACTGCTACTTGGAGCGTGTATCATTTTCAAATACACCATTTTTTTTTTTTAAATTTCTAAATTGCTTGGTTATATAATGGCATTTGAGGGGCCAATTAATAACATCCGTTTTTTCATTACGTGCGAGTACTTTTGTTCTCCTTACATCGCCGTTTCTCAGAGCGAACGTAACTTCATTCCAAGACAACAAAATCTACTTCAACAACTCAATTTCTCACAAGAAAATGACTGTGTGTAATGTGTGACCAATCGGTGAAATAGTATTCAAATAAAAATGATTCAATTGCAACAAAAAAGGGAAGAAAAGACATGCTTTTCCCACAATGAGGTTAACTGTATGCAAAACAGGTTTACATCTAACCAAAACGATCGGGGATGGGCGCTTCATCAAGAAGTGAAGCTTCATATCATCTTGTTAAGACTGAAAATTCCAAACTATGCCTCGCCGTGCAATTGCGCCGTAGTTGGGAAAAACAGCGTATGTGAATTGAAACATTGCCAATTTTCATCTGATGAAACACAATTATTTGGGGAAACCTGTGGCTCTTTGCACTTGAATTTTTCACAATTTGTTTTTCCATTATGTGATATTGTGTTCATGAAAATTGATCACAAATATATTTGTGGCTTCCCACAAAATGACATAGTTTAACCCTGGTAATTCGGAAACATTTGAATGTTCGCACGGCATTCCTCCTAAGCATGAAATAGCGCTTACTTGACCGCAAACCGCAGCCGACGCGCCCGTAGTATCCCCGAAGTATCCGCATCACTGCCGAGCTGTAGTAAAAAAACTCCGTATAATCCCTTAAACCTTGCCTAATTTCCTTTGAAAAAACACAAATTGCCGGTCAATTTTAGAATATTTTCCTCTCGATTTCCCAAAGAACTTTTTCGTCCCTTAATCTTTGGTAAACAGTTGCTTGAAAATTTCAAGGAAAAATATGTATAGCTTTCTCTAAAAAATAAACGAATGCTTCGTTTTGATAACGCCCTAATTCGGAGATAATTGAAATTCTGTTTCATCGAAGGAAATTCGTTTTTAGGGCTTGACGCCTATTTTATCATTATATTTATTATTTTCATTTTAATTTAAAAAGATAGACACGAATTTGTGTTTTTTTTTCGAAAAAAAAATCCGATTCCAAAGGTTTAAAAACATTGATATCATACTAACATGAAGCACCAACAAGTTTTCATTTAGCTACGGGACATTATTTGGGAGAGAAATGACTTCTTCCATTCACAAAAAACATTCGGCTAAATGAAGTTTATTCACTTGTTTGAAATTTTTAAGCTTTTCTAGAGTAGGGCACTTTTCAAACGAAGCTATTCAAGTAAGTACTGATTATCAAGTCCCAATGGTTACCTGATAACAACTTTGAAAAGCTCACCACTCAATTTTCAATTGATTTTGCTTACTTTCCTGCTGAAAATAAGCCCAGGACGGCTCAAAACGTTCTACTCTCCCAGTCTTTTAATATATTAGCCTTGTTTTACCCATTTTCTCATTTTTTTATGTCGTTTTCACACTTTTGGAGTGTGTAATTTGTGCATTTTCGCTAACGGTGCGGTGGAGAGTATCTATGAGCTCAAGTAACATCCCGTGTCTTCCTGACATAAGGTCGTAACTGAATTTCGCAATGAACCCTGTTTTACATGCAATTTTAAGCTTTTCTGGGTTCATCTCAACGTGAAGTTGTTGAGGTTTAATGAAATTAAGAATATAACGCAAGATTTTGCAAACCTGTATCAGTTCATGTATTATATTACTTATGACGTATGGTCAACTGAGCCTGAGACTCAGCGATAAGATGAAGCTCCCTGTCTAGTTCAAAAATTTCTCCTGTACGCAGTCCTCTTCAGCACTTGTACGCACGATGTCATAAACTAAGCCTTATTATCATCGATATATACTCTGTACTATCTAACGAGGTGTTATTTTTTAATAATCCATAATACCTTAACAGGTTATGGGCCCAGAGTGAACGTGACCATCATGTGAAAAACAATCGTGCCGAAAAATCACGAGAACGACGAAAATTTTAGTCAAAAATTACGGGCGACATAGTGCCAACGGGCGACAAAGTGCCAACGGGCAACAAAGAGCCAATTTCGGGCAACATAGTGCCAACTAATTCGACGAAAAATTTAACGTTCGTTTTTGTGATAAAAATTTCGGGCAACAAAGTTTTCGGCCAACGAAATTTTTCGGTCAACACAGTGACAACTAAATTGAAATTTTTTGGTCAACACAGTGACAACTAAATTGAACTTTTCGGTCAACACAGTGACAACTAAATTGAACTTTTCGGTCAACACAGTGACAACTAAATCGAAGTTTACGTGAAACTAAATTTCCTGAAGAAATACTGTATTTTCTGGGCAAAATCGGTGCCAATCAATTTATCGGTGCGCATCAATACGCAAAACAAAAATGTCTGAATCGCACGAGTATCAGTTATTAGACATGCGGGCCGTGGATAAACTCAAAGGAAAATCAAACTATGAACTTTGGAAGTTTCAAGTGCAAATCCTTCTGGAAGAAAAGGGCGCGCTGAAAATCGCAACTGGAGAGGACCCTAAACCTGCAGCAACTGACAGACCAGATGACACAAAGTCACAAGAAGCCTGGACAAAGAAGGACGTCATCGGTAAAAGGATCATCTTTACAACACTCGAGAAGACCATCATGCCATCCATCATGTCGTGCAACTCCTCAGCTGAAATGTGGGTTCGTTTGAAAAATTTGTATGGTAGGAACCAAGAGGAACAAAAGCAAGAGTTAATCAGAGAATTTTTCAGCATTAAATTTGAAAGAGGCACGCCTATGACTCAACATGTGAGTAAAATTCAAAATATCTTTGCTCAACTTAAAGCTGTTGATCAAACAGTTAGTGATGAGATGCTCATGTCAAAAATTTTAACTACACTCCCGGAAAGTATGGAAAGCTTTGTAACATCATGGGATGTATTGTCCATTAATGAGAAAACGGTCGAGCGATTAGTCTCCAAACTTCTTTTGGCAGAGGAAAGATTAAAAACATCGAGTGAGTCTGGCGTGGCTTTTTCAACTAGTTCATCCTTAAGCTGTTATCGGTGCCATCAAGTCGGGCATTTAAAACGCAATTGTACAACAGTGCTAAAATGTGAAAATTGTGGTAAAGGTCACCTGACCCAATACTGCAGAAACAAGAAAGGTGAAAATAGTACTAGTACTTGTAGTATTTGTAATAAGGGAAACCATTCAACTGAAAAATGTTGGCATAACAAGGCCAATCAAAAAGGTAATGCAAAGAAAAATAAGCAAAACTCCAAGGGCGAAAAAGGGGTAGCATTTTCTCTTAATAAAATAAAGACCGATGGTGTGGAGTCTGATGAGTGGATTGTTGATAGCGGGGCCACGAGCCATCTCACGAATAATCTAACTGACTTGAGTGACGTAAAGAATGCTAACATCGAAATCGGTGTTGCGAAGAAGGGTAATAGTCTAAACATAACAAAAATTGGCCAAGTGTGCGCCGATGAGTGTTCGCTAACAAAAGTTCTATTCTCAGACGAAGCAGCAGGGAATCTTTTGTCAGTGAAGGCAATAACTGAAAAAGGTGGAACAGTTCTTTTTACAGAAAATGAAGTGTTAATCTCCAAAGATAACGTTGAAGTTCTTAAAGGAGAAAAAGGAGATAACGGGTTATATACAATAAAATTGCATCCTAAA